AGTGTTTTGTGTTGTCCTACAAAAATTAAAACAAATACAGACACGGTATCATAACTATAAACAGCAGCCCAGAATGCAATGTCATAAATGAAACAAAAGCTTGAATACAAAGTCCCCCTGAGCGAATCTCAAACAACCTCAGGTTCTTCAGAAGTTTGAATACAAGTGGCCAATAGGTCAGTGCCTGCAAGGCTGCCACCATAAAATGCATTTGAGTATTGTGTATTTGTTATGCAACCCCCTGCTTCACGAGAACACATTAAAAACTTTTAAGAGGTGCTTAACCAACAAGAATCAAATTAATTAATTTAATTTTTTATGGTGACATACCTATGTCAGTATCCCTCTTTTGAAAGACCGAGGATTGTGATCATTTGAAACAAGACAGTTATACACAAACAAGAGACAAACATACTGAAATCAGATACACATCGCTGCAGCTGATTCGAGAGAAGATAACATATGATAATTAAACAGCTGTCTTAGGAACTGAAAATTTTAAAGTAACAGCACAGAAAAGCATATGCATTTAAAATCAATTTGAAGATAATAATTTTTCTATAAATAATCTAAGCTCAAAATCAGTCATACTGAAATATGTTTACCTTCTTGGAAATGCAGTCAAACTAATGCCAATTTTCAATTTTGCTCAAATCAGGTGACAGGTCCTGAGGTTCAACTGCATTATACCTTTCAGTTTATTGCTTGCAACTGTTAAGAGAAAAACCTTGAAGACAGTTTGTACTACACTCTACATCAATCAAGTCACTCCATTGAATTGGTTGGTTTTCAAAGAATTAGAAATGACATATCAAACCCTCCCAAATTTGAACTAATCAAAACTGAGGCCCTTGAAACAGACTGCATGATCCAAATTTCCAAGTGGTCTAGACATTTTTTTCTTTTTTTGAATCCCAAGAGATGCTCAAATGCAAAACAAAAATGATTAAAAATTAAAGCCCATAAAAGATCCAGTAAGCATTCCAATATTGTCTTTCGCTTGGCAAAAATTGCTGCTTTCCTTCATTTTCTCTTGCTATCTTTGGAATATCTGATAAAATTTCAAAAGGCTGGAAAAGTAGCAGTATATTTCCAACTTACAAGTCTCTAGCATAATCAAAGGAAAAGAGCCAAGAAGCCAAAGCCGTTTCAGGGGAAGCAGACCCACTTGTTCTCATACATTCCTGTGCATAAGATGAGTTTAAAACTGTATGATCAATGCAAAATAATTGGTTATACACAAGCATAGGATAGCAGAATTATGAGCTAACTATTACCCGTATGGTTCAGTATATTACCTGTCAAAATTTTCCCCCATAGAGGAGCAGAAAGGGTGAGATTTCACAAGTTTTCCAATTTGGTCGATACCTTAGATGGAAGATAAAAGTCCATAAGCTATGCTACACCTGGCATTCTCCTGAACAAATTGGTTGGTTTTCAAAGAAGCAGCAGATTAATTGAGGAAGAAGACACTCTTGAAAATTCCTTCCAACTGAGGGCAAAAACTGAACACCTTTTGAAAATACAGTGTACTCTGTATGATCCAAATTGTGAAGAAGATAAAAAATATTATATTCAACAATTCTGTGATATCTAACATTGTTATGGACTGATCAAATGAAGAAAGGAATGCATGAATTTTGTAATATGGTTGCACTTTAAAAGAACCAAATATATGCAACAGATTGCTTACCTGAATTCATGTAATTAACAAAGGGCTTTCACAATCTACCCACTGAATGACGAAAAAATATAATGAAAAGCTCTAATGTTGGGAACTTAGTGGCAGTTCACAATGTTTGAAGAATTTTTAGTTTATGAATAGAAGTCTTAAAATTTGTCTTTTTCATATGAATTACTGAGGAAAAAAATTGGCTTTGTTGATCATTAAAAGTGAAGGGCAAAGGGTTAAATTGATCAAGTGAAGAGTAATCAATATCCTTGACTCAAGGTTAGATTCAGAATTCTAGAAATCTTGTTTCCATTAACTCATTGATTAGTCAGTAAGATTTGGCTACATGCGATATACCAATGAATCAAATATAAAGTTTGCTTGTCCCTCAAACTCCTCAAATGTATAAGAAAAGTTAATTTGATCAAGTGAAGAGCCATAAATTAATTACCTCAATGTTGAAGCTTGTAGAAGTGTCTAGAAATCATCATTCCATCTACATGCATTATAAGAAAATGAATCAAAAGTGAGAAAAATGAAAATATGAATTTATATATGTTTTGAGAGAAAGAATAAATAATTTAGATGGGATAACATTAATTGGCAGCACCCAACAACAATGGAGGCAGCAGCATCAATCAAGTTAATTGATAGAGGATAAGGAGAGAGATTTTACATTTTGATGTTGGGAATTCGTACAAGTGCAGTTGTGAGAAAAAAGAAACTCAAACCTCTTTGCCTCAGTCTTGGATTGGATGATCTGGAAATTTATATCGATGTATGGAACATGAGAAATCTTGTGCCAGTCAGGATCACTTCCCTTGGTGCATCTTTCCTTTAACTTGTTTGGGCAGTTCCAAATATAAAGTCATTGGAGGGAGGACAAGTTGTTAAACCAGTCTGGCAAAAATTCCATTCCATTGAAGCCCTCTATACTCAACTCCTTTAGAGCAGTGAGGTGTTGAATTTGTGGGAGGTGAGTTAGTTTTTCTCATCCCATCAAAGTAAAATGTTCAAGGGAGACGTGGATGGAGCTCAAATGTGGGAATTCTTCCAGCTCTTCTGAGAAATGGCCGATCTCTAATCAGCCGAGACTCTTCTCTAGGAAGCCCACCAATTTTGGATAACCTAAAATTTCTAGAGAACACAATTCCTTCAACTCTCCTTGTAAAGAGACTAGATTAGGGCACTCTGTTATCACCAGTTCCTTAAGAGATGACAGCCCACCTAATATACGCCTTAACCGAGTACAATCCCTAATTTGAAGTGTTTCAAGACAAGAAAGGTTTCCAATAAAGCTTCTTCCACTCCATTGAAGCTTGTGATAGTCAAGTCCCTGAGGGTAGATAGCCGTTAAATATGATGTGGCAGAACTAGTGATTCCCCCCATCCATCCAAATGCAAGACTTCAAGTGCGGCTGGAGTGGAAGTGGTAGTGGAACTCAAATTTGGGAATTCCTCCAGCTCCTCTGAGAAAGGGCCAAGCTCTAATCTCTTCAAGCTAACAAGTAAGACCAAGATCTCCTGTGGGAAACTCCTTAATTTTTTACATTTCTAAATATCTAACCTAACAAGAGACCGTAACTGCTTCAATTCTTCTGGAATAAAGACCAAATTAGAGCAACTCCACATCTACAATTCCTCCAGAGCAGTGTAGGATGAGAGCCCACTCGGTAGACACTCTAATCCATCACAATTCTTAATAGTTACTGTTTTCAGAGAGACAAGCCCTATGCTTGGAATAAACTTCAATTTTTGACATTGCTGAATATCAACTTAACAAGAGATCGTAACTGTTTCAATTCTTCTGGAATAGAGACCATATTAGGGTAACTCCACATTTGCAATTCCTCCAGAGCAGTGCAAGATTAGAGTCTTAATCAAGCAAGATAAATACCTGAAGGTCATTGCAAAGAAGTGTGATACCATCAGCCAGTATCATATCAGAGTATGGATCTGTTAAAAATACTAGAATTAGGACATCTAAATATAAAGTAGCTCAAGAACCTAACAAAAAGCATTCTGCAGGTTACTTAGATGCCACACAGGTAATTCATAAAAGGAGGATAAGCTGTATAAAATGAACTTCCAGAATCCAGATTTAATCATGATGATATCGGAAGAAAGCATGGATATTTCCAATAACAAAATGGAGAAATTTGTCCTCATACTCTGGGAGTGGTCCAACTAATTCCAAACATGCCACCCAACTAATCTACATCTTAACCTCAAACTAAGGTAAATATCTATTTTCAATTGAATCATTACTGACTCCGAAAAGGAAAATGAAAACGAGAACTGACCATCTTGGAACTCAAACAGAGAACCCTAAACTCGTCCAAGGAGAAGGACAAAGAGACAGTTCAAGAAAGAAGCTGAAAGTTGATCCCTTTCTCTCTCTAAAACTCTCCCTTCAGAACTGGAGACGATTTGGAAGGAAAATTTTCAGCCTTTCAGGTGGGTTTTGCTGGCCGCTGCCTGCGTGGGTTGTTTTTTTTGGTTGGTTTTTTTTTTTTTTTTTTTTTTCCCTTAATTTTTCTTTTTTTTTTTTTTGTTTTTTTTTAACGGGGGCGTTTTGGTTTTGGAGGTTTTCAAAAGCCCCCGGGTGAAAGTTTGTTTGGTTTTTTTTTGCAAATTCCACCGCCTTGGTTTCGTTTTCGGTTTGGGTTTGGTTTTTTGTTTTCTTACCGGTTCCAATTGGGCGGACCCTAGGAAGATCCTTGCAATTTTCCAGTAATAGCTGAATGGATCGCTGACCCAAACCCCTTTTCTACTCCAATCATCATCCCCCTTCTCCACTTCCGGCGGTGGACGCGGCCGAGGTGGCGGCTCTCCCCCTGCTCCTCCCCAGTTTGATTTTTCTCGACCCGAATCGGATTAGTCAGGGCAAGGCTCGCTGCAGCCAACCCAAGTTGGACTTGGTCACGGCCGTGGTAGGCCGTCTGACCCAGTTCTTCGATCTTTTTCTTCCTTTGTTTCCCACGTCAGGCAGTCTCAAATTGGTTCTGGTCGTGGCCGGGTCGCTAGCGAATCATCTGCTGCTGATGAGTCGTCACTACTTGGGCAATCCAAGCAACCTATTTTCATCCCGAAAAAGGATGTCGATGGTTTTGATTCGGCCATTGAATCAGAGGCGAAGCGGAAACCCTCTCAGTCGAGTGAAACTAATCTCCCCTCTCTAGCATACGCTCAGTTTTACGCGGAGCTGGACGATGGAAACCTTTGAAGCAACCTGATCCTGCAGTGCAAGTCAAGGAAGAAAACCGTCATATTCGGGTCCGGCAGCAGCCTTCCAGGTCTGCACCTGCCGCAGACCCATCCCCAGCTCAGCCTAAGTTGAGCCAGGAAGAAGCTGTGAAGAAGGCAATGGGAATCCTTTCGCGTGGAGGTGATGGCGAGGATGCTGGTGGGATGGTGAGAGCAAGAGCAGAAGGGGGTAGAGGAAGGGGAAGGGGAAGGGGAAGAGGGAGGGGACGGGGGAGAGGAGAGAGGGGGATGGTTGTGGACAGAAGCAATGTTAAGTACTCTGAGGAAGCAGACGATCCATATGCCGGTGATGAAGCAGATGAAAAGAAATTGATACAAGAGATTGGACGTGAGAACGTGAGCAGCATTGTTGATGGGTTTTTGGATGCAAGCAGTAGGGTCGCGCATTCGCCTTTGGACGATGCTTATTTGGACGCCTTCCACACAAATTGCCTGGTAAGTGTTTCATTATCTCTTTTTCATCGTTTGTTTTAGGATTGAATGATACAAAATTCATTTTTCTCTTCCTTTCTTTTCCTTCTTCTTTTCATAAAAAGTTCTTTTTTTTTTCTTTCATTTAAAGGTCTTAACAGCAGAATGCATCATTTCTGTCATTCAAATGTCTTCAGGTTGTATGTCGTTTTTACTAATATGTTTTCTTGCTACCTTGCTATTCTATGTATAGCTTATGAAGTTGATGGAGTGAATCATTAATTTGTTATTGAGAATGGTTGGGCTCTGTAGGTGTTTGCCATTTGATAATTGGATTTTCCTTTGGCATGTTCTTAACGGATAGAATGAAAATCTGTTTTCAGTTCTCCAAGAGTCAGCCTTTTGGCTGAAAATTCTATTATCTTTTACTCAGCATATCGAGGTGTTTTTAGAAAGTTGTTTAAGTCATTAGCAGTGTGTTTGATGGTGGATTGCTGGATAGAATAAAATTTGCATATTTGGTTATTTAAAGTATTTTTTTCCTCATTCATGTGTAATGCAAAATTTCTGCTGACAGGAAGAAAAGATAAAGTAAAATTTTTTAATGAAAAGTAATAAAAGAAACCCATTTTCACTCAAAAAGAGGTGGGTCAAGAGATCTTAATTAGATGACACATCCCTGACCATTTGCCTTGATTTGGCTTACATTGAGTTTAACTTATAATATGGTTTTGTAGGTATTGTATGATCAAAATTTTTTTTTTTCCTCATATTCTGAGTTTAGCTGGGGTTGGGGGTCTAGTTGCTCAGTTTGTTGAGGTCTTGCTCTTATGGCTTGCAGATTGAGTGTGAGCCAGAGTATTTGATGGGAGATTTTGGCACAAACCCAGATATTGATGATAAACCGCCAATTCCTCTTCATGATGCACTTGAGAAGGCGAAGCCCTTCCTGATGGCATATGAAGGAATTCAAAGCCAAGAAGAATGGGAGGTATATGCTGTTGCTTTTGAAATGTGGTTAATAGATTTTATCCTTGAAGTTGATTTTTTTGTATTCCTATCACTTTGAACAGTGTTTGGTGTGTCTTTTCTTGAATATCCATCTTTTGCTGCAAATATGCAAGAGTTTAAATGCTCCGTTTATGAAAGAAAACTGTGGGCTTCATGTATCTTGTGGGACGGATCTCTTGTGGTGCTGGCTAAGTGCACAGGGTAGAAGAAATTAATTATAACAAAAAATAAAAGAAAAAAAGAAAAAAACAACCAATGGGAAAAGTTGTATCAAAAACCTGCAAAGTATGCGCAGAATGCTATTGAAATAATTGGGATATTCTGACTTGTGTAAAATTAGGAAGACTATTTTATTTAATTAAAATCCCAATTTCTGTTAGCTGACATAAAGGCATGATTCTTCTTTTGTGCCTTTTCTACTTATGAAATCTTGCATCATACTGGTGAGACTTCTCAGTGTGGCTTTCAACACTCTATTTAATTACATGATACAACAGAGATCCTATTAACAATGTAATGAGCAAGGAGCCGATGTATCCAATCAACTACAACTGAACACTGTAATGAGTTAAACATTTGTTCTGAACCATTTTAGAATTGGTATTATGGATTTCCTTTTTTTCCAATAAAAATTTTAGTAATATCACTTGGGTTTAGAAGTTGTTTGGTGTTTGCTATTGTTGAACATTTAATTTTCAGGAAGCTGTCAAAGAAGCGATGGAGAGGGTCCCTTTATGGGAAAAGGTTATTGATCAGTACTGTGGACCTGATAGGATTACAGCAAAGAAACAGCAAGAGGCGCTAGAAAGAATTGCAAAAACTGTTCCTAACAGTGCGCCAGCTTCTGTGAAGCAATTTGCTAATTGTGCAGTTCTTTCCCTGCAGGTCAGTATTCACTCTCTCAATCTTGAAATTGCTTCATATACTGGTAAAATTGTGATGGTCTACATGAAATGCTTACCTTCTCCTGTTAACATTACAATGCAGAGCAACCCCGGTTGGGGATTTGACAAGAAATTCCAATTCATGGATAAGCTTGCCCGAGAGGTCTCTCAATGATACAATTGAAGTTGGAAGGCTTGTTTCTGATGATGATGTCATGATTACTGAGATCTTTTTCTGGAATCCATATATGTTGATTCAATCTTCATTTGAAAAATAATCTTATATGCAAAATGTTTTTCCAAAAAATATTGGAGCTGTGCCCCATAATTGACTGTTGGAATAAACTCCTTGAGCAGGTCTCGTCTTTTCTTTGCAACAATACTTCATGCAGCTCTTGCCATCTCCATTTGCAGCAAAGTACCATCTTTCATCAGAAAACTACGATCATTTGTTTGATATTTATAGTATGGGTTTAGCAAACAGCAACCACAAAAGAGTACATAAAAGATGTTAAGCATAACTACATCATGAGACGGGAGACTTTGTCTGAAATGAACTTTGTCATTGTCATTGGTGGCAACTCTGGTTATGTACATATCACCGGAGGTTCTTTGAACAAACCTTAATGCATAAAGAAGCATAGAAAGCAGCTTCAATG